CTGTTACCTGCACCTGTGTCCCCAAGCTTATTTAAGAACTCTTCCTTCTAAACTCACTCATGAAGCCACGTGCTCTCCCCTGGCTGCTTTTGAACCTGTGGTCCATGCACAGGTTATGTATGTCTGCGCCATTGAGGACCTCCGATTCCAAGTGTCTTTTAGTCCCCTTTCCTTAGCCTACAAGCACATACCTGGATCACGGGGCAGAGCCGGGGAGATGATTGTGTGGGACTCTACTGTTACCTCCCTCCATCCCACTCGCTGCCAGATCAGGGGTGCCGTAACATGCATGAGCAGAGTGACACCTGTCGAGTCAGAGAGTAGGCGACACAAGGATGGCTTCATAGATCCTCCCTTGAGTGTCTTAGTCACAGAGAAGACAGAAAAATAAGAGGAGGTGTATTTGCCTCCCACAAGGCATCAAGCCAGCTGGGTGAGACCGAAAAGGCTTGAGGCACAGGCCGCATCTGGTGCACGCAGTTAATCATGTAAAGCTTTGTTTTCTTAGACTTGAAAGTCAGGAGAAAGGGTAGGACAGTTTGACTCATACACTTTAATCACAAGCCAGATTTCGCTTAAACGAGTGGGCAAAACACTTCAGATGCTTAAGGTATGGAATAGGTTCAGTACCATCTGGAATTGTAGTTGATAATTTGCTTTTGTTTTACTTAGAGACTGAAGAAAATAGACAAGGCCAGCATCTCTTGGTCAGCAGCTGGATGATTCTGGTTACTCACTTCCTTAAAACAGTGTGACCTGCTTTGTATCTGAAAAGCTCAAGGGGAGCTTCAGTGGTTCCCGAGTGCTCTAAGTGACCCCTCTGCTGCCTCCTTCATTGGCTTTTTCCCCGTTTGTTCTTTGTTTCCGTAGGAGAGGGAAACAGTGATTTTGCTTGTAAACTTTGAATTAATAAAACCTTCCTGAGGTTGTGATAATGAGGCCACAAAAAGTTGGGAAGCATTCTTGTCCCCTTGCTTTTTGTGTCTCAGATTCCCTCTGTCTCCTGGTGTGATGAGCAAGTATGGAGCAGTCTGTGTCCCTTTTATTCGTAGAAAGTTGGCAGCAAAGCCAGAGGCGTGATGTTGGTCAACATCTCGCTGTTACCTGCACCTGTGTCCCCAAGCTTATTTAAGAACTCTTCCTTCTAAACTCACTCATGAAGCCACGTGCTCACCCCTGGCTGCTGTTTGAACCTGTGGTCAAAAGGAGAATGGGCTGGGAAATTCCAGATGATGCACATTCTTTTCAGCCTCATATTATAACTGGATGTCTAAGGAGTGGAATTTCAAAGATCATCTTCTCATTTAAAAATTTTATCCTCTTGAAAATTTTATTATTAACAAATTACCTTAATAAGTTCTTATGATCAGTTTCACTTTTTCTGCAAAGGAGATGTCCTTGAGGTGTACTAAGCCCACAAGTTCATGTAGTATTTACCAGGGAGTCATAATAACTTGACATAGTTTAGAAATGCTAAGGCTTCAGGTTGCCTAGTAATGTGGTCACAAATGCACGATTTAGGTATGACTAATTTATAAATAAGCAACTTGGTAAAATCTGATCAACATAAAACTATTACCTGCCGTTTGCTTTCTAAAAGAATTTCCCAAACCACAGCAAATGTGTCCCTGAGCAGACTCAGCTCCTTGTAACATTTTCCTCTTGGCCCAGTCGGTTGCCTCCTCTGAGTCTATGTGGTGCAGTAGCCGCTCTGCTCTGCACCGTGCTAGGAAGCTTCCTATTTGGCAGCATATGTTTGGCAGCAAAGCTATAGAGACAGGTGCATTCTAACAGCCTGGGCTCCAGTCCTGAGTCTTACTGAGTGTCAGAAATCTGAAAACACTTGCTGAGAAACAAATGTATTCCATTGGAAAAACCCTCTGTGGAGCTGTACGCCTCTTGGACTCTTCTTCCTAGACTAAGGTTTGCAGTTCCCTTCCTGTCACTGTAAAAGAGGAAGAAAGCCTTCATCGGTCCTTACTGCTGAGTCCTCTCTGATCTTGCAGCTGGATCTGGCAGTCTCTGGGCGCTTAGCATGGGTGTCCTTTCCCTAGTTGAGCTGGAAGCAGACGAACCCAAGTAGAGAAGCTAAGTCTTGGAAGGAGAGATCCATTGAGGCCAGCAGCCAGACCAGCCAAGGGAGGAAGCCTGGAGATAACCAGAAGATCTCCATGGGTCACACCGGGCTGTGAGTACTGATGGCCTTAGTGCTGCATGATGCCCTTTGGTATGAAGTACTGCCGCACAGCTACTGTTTTCTAAAAGTGAGAAGCCAATTAGCTCAGGCCAGCCCTTAAGAGTTCTCTGGCAGGTTTTGTTGGCAATATTGAAACATCTAGAAAAAGTTTCTGATTGAATTGGTTATGGGAATGGAGTTTAATGACATTTGTAATTTATTACACATTGCTTTTTATTGATTATAGTACTGTCTGACTTTTCTTCTCTATTATAATTCTTTAAGCAGCAAAGTAACTCATGCATATATTGAAGTGGTTTTCCAGCTATGAATTCTGTAGGTAGAAATTTATTTACCAAATGTGAATTCTTTTGAGAAAGTATGAAGTTATGTAGAAATTGACTGTGAAATGTTAGAGAAAAATAAAAGTCACTTACTTGAAATTATTAGGCTGTTTTGCTTTATAACTGCTTAAAAAATACTGAGTGAAATCTAGAGCAAATATTTGAATTGGGTTAAGTCAAATATGGATACTCATGCCATTTGAGAATATTGGGATTGGACCTTGAATATGTGGAAATTTCATTGTTCAGACTTTCACCAGTGTAAACTTAAAAGGAAATGCAGGCGGTCTTACGGTAAGTGAGTGGCCTATTGCTCCCCAGGACTTGGAGGTTTATGCCGCAGTGTTTGGGAAGAGGAAGAGGAGAATCCAATCCAGCAATTTCTTCCTTTCTTTCTTTTTGAAATTTGTTCTTTTTAGATATACATGAGAATAGAGTGTATTTTTTGTGTGGGAGGCGGGTACCAGGAATTGAACCCAGGGGTGCTTAACCACCAAGCCACATCCCCAGCCCTTTTTATTATTTTATTTATCTTATTAGAGATAGGGTCTCACTGGGTTACTTAGGCCTTCACTAAGTTCTGCAGCTTGCTTTGAACTCCTGATCCTCCTGTCTCGGTCTCCTGACTTGCTAGGATTACAGGCGTGCGCCACCATGCCAGCAAGTAGAGTGTATTTTGACATATTATACATACGTGGAGTACAACTTATTCTAATTAGGACCTCATTCTTGTGGTAGTACACGATGAGGGGATCACTGTGGTGCATTCCTATTGTGAACATAGGAAAGTTATGTCTGATTCTTTCTACTATCTTTCCTGTCCCCCATCCCTTCGTTCCCCTTGGCAATCCAGTGATTTCTTCCATCTGACCTGACATTTCACAAATAAAACTTTAAAATGACAAAACTACTCCAGTTGTACTCTGGGATAAGCCACAGCCACGTCGGGTGGCGTTCTTCCCACAGCAGAGGCGGACTAGCAAGTTATCTCAGGGCCTCCCTCGTCCTGCTCGCTTGGGCTCTGCTCCCTGTTGAGGCCCATCTAAAGGCTCTCCAAGGGAGAAATGGTGTCCCCTGCTTCCTATGCCCGTTGGGAGCCCCTTTCTGGGGTTTTTAAGACACTGGGAATAAAAAAGCTTATCATCATTCAAAGGCCCAGAGGATTGTCACAGCCTATAAGTCTTATAGCACTATTTCTGTTTTATGGAATTGTTTTAAGTGACTTATGACTGGAATAAAAATGAGTAAAGCCAGGCGTGGTAGCTCATCATCCCAGCAACTCTGGAGCTGAGGCAGTAGGATCACAAATTCAAGGCCAGCCTCAAAAACTTGGCAAGACCCTATCTCAAAAAGGACTGGGGTTGTAGCTCAGTGGCAGAACACCCCTGGGTTCAATCCCCAGTACAAAAAGAAATAAAAAAGGTAAAGATGACTAGAGAAGGTTCCTCTTGAAATAAGGAGAACCATCATTCCTAAGAAGTGAAATCCAGAGAAGCAAGAGAGGACAAAAACGAACTGCCGTAAGGCTTAGGAGGCCCCTGTTGCTTGAGCCTGCGACTCTGTGCCCATCCTCAGTGTGACTTGTGTGGAGACGCCTGTCTAGGGCTGCCTGTTTGTGAACATGTCTGTTTAAGCCACATCTTTGATGCTATCACCATGGATGATGGCCTGTGCGATGGCATCCGAAGAGCGGCATTCACATGTTGTATCTATGATTCATTAACCGGTGACTTTGGTTAGGTCACTTAGCCTCTCTAGCTGCCCCCCCTCTCAGCTGAATAAAGAGCTGGTTATCTCTGGGGCTCTTCTCAATGCTAATGTTTCGTAAGGGCCGTAGCTGTGTTCCTGGTGAGCCACAAAATTAATATATTAAAAATTTAAAGAACCTGGGACACTTAGAAAAGAAGTTCCTGGTGCCCTGGGTAAAATTAGTTTAGTGTTCTGCCAGATTTTTACCCAGTGATATGTGACTCTGGGAGAAGCATTTTGCCAGTCTGCACTGGTTTTGCCTTTTCAAAAATTTTTGAACATGAATTCTCTAATGTCCAAGTGAAAAACTGCACTCAAAAGAATTCTTATTGGCCCAAGCCAGACATGGTGTTGCACACCTGTAAGCCCAGATAGTTGGGAGGCTGAGGTAGGGGATCACAATTTGGAGGCCAGCCTGGGCAACTTAGCAAGACCCTGTCTCAAAATTTAAAAACAAGGGGGGACTGAGGATTTAGCTCAGTCCATGAGGCCTTGGGTTCAACCCGACTACCACCAAAATAAATTTTTTTTTTAATAAAGCCCTAAAGGAGAATAATGTGGGTTTAGGCCACCACATGTCCTTTGCTGGTCTGCAAATAGTCCTGTCCTTTCATCTGCGATGAAGAACATGTCTGTTTTATCTTTGGCTTTTTATTCCCTCTCCCTGTGTCAGGATCCTTGCGTTGACACAATGGTATTTTCACATCAATAGTCAGAGACAACACATGCGGTGGTTCTTTGTGAGGTCTTTATTCTGGTCCCAGCCTCCAGTGTCACCTTTCATCCACATGGGTGATATGCTGGCCACGCAGTGCAGGCAGAATGGTCCAGACAGGCAACCATGCGATGCATCTGTCTCTTGCAGCCTTTATCTTCCTTATCAAAAGAGGAAGGGGGGACTGGGGTTGTGGCTCAGTGGTACAGCGCCCGCCTAGCATGCATGAGGCACTGGGTTCGATTCTCAGCACCACCTAATTGTAAGATAAAGATATTGTGTCCACCTAAAACTAAAAACTAAATATTAAAGAAAAAAGGAGGGGAGTAGTCCTTGCTGTATGGTTGCCATCTTGAGGTCATCATGTGATACAAAAGTCCGTCTTAAAAGTGTTTTAAAATGGATCTGCACAGCCGTGCGCAGTGTCGCAAGCCTATAATTCCAGTGACTCAGGAGGCTGAGACCAGAGGATCACAAATTTAAGGCCAGCCTCAGTAACTTAATGAGACCCTGCCCCAAAATAAAGAAAGTAAAAAGGGCTGGTGATGCAGCTCGTTGGTAAAGCGCCCCTGGGTTCAATCCCAAGTACCAAAAAAAAAGCTCTGGCAGCAGTGAGAGCACTCGGCCTCTTGTTTGCTTGAAATAATGAAGTCTCTCTTCCACCAAGACCTCAGGCACAGTGAACTTGAAGAGAGTCGAGCCAGGAGGGTCCCTCTGCCTGACTTTCTGGGAGATGTTGAGGGGTCCACGTGTGACAGTGGCTCTTCCCTCGGAGCCCCTCCTCCTCCTCAGAGCACGTGCTTGATGAAGGATGGTTATGCAAGACTTAGAGAATTGCTTGAAAGAACAGGCTGCACGATTCCTGCCTCCAGTCGCAGCAGCTGGGATACACGGCGAGAAAAGCCCATGGAGCGCGGTGAGCAGCGGTGTGGGTGGAAGCCGCCAGGAAACCAAGGCAGTCAGCCAGCCCCATGAGGCCGGGCCGGCTGAGCCACGGGTGTCCCTGCGTCTCGCCAGCCTGGAGGTAAAAATAGGTGCCTTTCATTTTCCTAAAGACTCACTTTCTCTCATGAATCAGTGGCCGCAGAAGGATGCTCACTCCTGGTGACCGTTCTCAGAGCAGAGGACAGCAGCCTCCCTGTCTGGGAACAGCCCCCAGGCTCTGCTTGCTGGGTGGGCAGATGGCAGCCCTGGGCCTGGAGCCCGCCCTTCACATGGGCTGCGAGTGACAATCTAAACCCTGAAAAATCGGGACCTGCTACTACACTCTATGGAGATGGTAAACCATGATCTGTCTCTGCAGAGGCCTAGATGAAATCCCCATCTCTCCTCATCTCTGCTGCAAATGAGCTGATTGTCCCCAGAGGAGCAGGGGAGAGTTCCCCCTTCACCTTCCTAGAGTTCTCTGGAATGAAGTGACCATAGATCCTTCAGGAGAAGGGGCATAGGGTTTGTTAGCATGCACGGGGGTAAATCACAGGACTGCCCTGGGGGTCCAGCGAGGCCCAGATGCCCTGTGCCCTTCTGCAGGGTGGGACAGGAACTAGGAAGACAGAGGCAATTCAGAGGAAGTGAGCCTCAGGAGGAAGGCATGGGCCAAGGGGACGGTCATTCCTCAATGATCTTTCTTTGGAAGAATGAACAGGCCAGGGAGACAGCAGGAGCTGGTGACCTTCCTCGGTCTTTCTTCCTGGGACGTGAGGTGAGTTAGTGAAACCTCAGGGAGGGGACCAAAGACAAATGCACTCCTCTTTGGCAGGTCCAGGCCTTACACAGTTAAGGGAAATTCAGAGTAAAGCTGCTTCCATCATGTGCTGTTCTCTGAAAACCTTTAACTTAAAATAATAGCATACCAGGTGCCATATTTTGGGGTGAAATGCCCTGGGATTCTTCATCCCAGTCAGGGGAAGGAAATGGAAGATGATAGAGCCAAATAGAACATGGTCCTCTCCACAGATCCTGTGTCATCTTTGACATGTGCAGGAAACCCGGCTCTAGAGGCAGAGCTTCCCCTGAAGGCGGACTTCTGCTCCCCTCTGTTCTCCAGCAAGGCCTTCCGGCCTCTCACTGTGCAGCTCAGGAAATGCAAACGAGTGTTCACCTAACCAGAGCACACAGGACGGGCAGGAGCCCACCACAACCAACGATGCTGAGCCCACAGCCTGGCCATGCAGTCACAGGTATGACCCAGGGCACACAAGTTCAAGAATAGTCCCCTACACTGTGGCAGGCCAAGAGGGACCAAGATCCAAGCCAAAGCTCTTGTTGAGGTGTACATAGGCATATTGCACCTTTCAGCCTGTGATCATTTTATTCTTAAAGGCTTTTACAAGCATCAGCTTTGTGGTGAGCATCTAGCTAGTAAATTACTAACATTGCTGATTATACCAGTCAGGTTGGGTCATAGTGACAATGTCACTTCTGTTCAACCCATAGCCAGGACTGGCCTCCTGGCCCTATCAACCACGGGAGGGTGGAGAGAATACACACTGAATGGTAACTGTGCTAGTCAGCTTTCTGTGGCTGTAACAAAATACCTGAGAGCAACAATTTAAAAGGAGGAAAGGTTTATTTTGGTTCACAGTTTCAGAGATTTCAGCCCATGTTTGCTTGGCCTGGTGGCTTTGGGCTTAGGTTAGAGGGAGCACCCCAGGGCAGAAGTGCATGGGAGGAAAGCTGCTCAGCTCACAGCAACCAGGAAGCTGAGAGAGAGGAAGGGGCAGGGGTCCCCATGTCTCCTTTGAGGACATACCTCCAGTGACCTACTTCCTCCACCTCCTGATGTTTACACTATTCCCCAGCAGAACCCCAGGCTTCGGATCGAGCCTTCAACACATGAGACCACGAGGATATTTAAGGTCCAAACCATCAAAGTAACTGTCTCTGATTTTTTGTCTTAATTCAGGGGAAGGAAGGGTTCTGTAAATCTCACTTTGGGGACCTTTAAAAATCCCAAACATGTCTGTGGTCCTCATCACTCAGTTATTAACTCCTCCTCAAAAATGTGTGTTCCCAGGGCTGGGGATGTGGCTCAAGCGGTAGCACGCTCGCCTGGCATGCGTGCGGCCCGGGTTCGATCCTCAGCACCACATACAAAGATGTTGTATCCACCGAAAAATAAAAAATAAATATTAACATTCTAAAAAAAAAAATGTGTGTTCCCAAACTCTTATCATCTCCACTTCTTCAAAGTTTTGATGATTCCCAAAGCTTAGCAACCACAGCATCGGCACTGTTACTTCAGGGTAACAAATACATTAAATTGTTTGTGTCCTAGGCATGAGCCTACCTGTAAGGTATCAAATGTGACTGACACAGACATGGTCCCTGCTTCTAGTCCTGCGGGATGGTAGTGATGACCATCAGTCAGTCATGTGCCCCTTTGATGATCTGGGTGTCACTAGATGGCCTCTGCATGGTAGGCAAATGCTCTACCAGGGACCCACACCCCAGTCTTCTCACAAGGCCTTAGGTGTCCAAAGTTGGGTGTATTTGCCAGGTCAAGGCGGTAACTCCTACTCCCTCCTACTTTTATCCCAGAGATCAGTGCTTTGAAAACCTTTGGGTTAGCACACTTTGATGAGGGCGAGAGTCCTTACTGTCACATTACTAAATGGAGAACAGAAATGTTGCAATAGGCACCATGTATGGATTAGTTGACCATCCACCCCACACCAGGCAAGCATACCTGGAGAGGGTGCTGGGAGGTGGACTTTCCTGCTTAGCCACTCACCCCTAGACCTCTGAGCTCACCCACAACAGCCCCTGCCTGCTGTCCCTGGGCTGGCCCCATTCTGCCAGCAGAAGCATTCGCAAGATCCTCTCCTGCCTTAGCCTGGTCCCTGCCCTGGCAGTACGCAATGCTAGTGCCCAGGACCTACACACATACTGTGCTCCCTGGCCTTGGAGCTCTGGCATCTGAGCCAGGAGCTGTGACCTGTGGGAAAAGCAGTGGTGCGGGACTATGCCTGGTGCCCAAGGCGAGCTACGGACCAGAGCTGCAGGCGCTCTGCAAGGCCTCCAGAGGAGCCCAAGGTGTGTTGAGATTTGAGTCGGGGCAGAGGCATGATGGTGAGATGGAAACATCCCAGCTTCATGCCTTGATCTGGTTTCTGTGTGATCCTAGCAAGTTACATAACCTCTCTGGGCCTTGTTTCCTCATTTGTTGGGTTACTCTCTGTCAACACTAGAAGACTGTTGTGCCTTAATGGAAAGCATCTAGTGCAGTACACTGGCCTCCCTCAATAAGCAATGATCATAAAATTGTTCCGCACGGAAACGCTGCCGGTCAAGGTCCAAGGCCAGCATTCCACTTCGTACTTTCAGTTAGTGACCAGCAAATCAGCCAGCTCCCTGCCTGCTTCTGGCAACCTGCTGCGCCCAGAACAGAGCCCCTCCTAGGTGCACACCCTGCAGAATACCTGCCAAGCACGGTCAGCCGCTCTCCTAGCCTGTCCCAGGCCTCGCCCCTCTTTAGAGCTGCAGAGCCGATGGGTGGGGAGCCACAGAAGAATCAGGAGTACTGACAGTCAGCCCTGGCCAGGATCCTTAAGCTCACACCTGTCCTAGCTGGTGAGTCAGTCTCCAGTCTCCTGCACACCTGTGTCAGGTGAGCATCTCAAACTCCCTTGGCAAATGTGCAAAGCTGGGACCTACAGCAATAGCTCTCTAGCATCACATTGGGATAGTCCCTGGAAGGGGGGTCATTCATATTCATGCTATAAGTATGGTCAGCAGCTTCACCATCACCTCGGAGCTTGTTAGAAATGCAGGGCCCCAGGCCCTTCTGCATTATTAACAAGATCCCATGATTCCCAGCATCCTCAGGTCAGTATCAGGAACATCAACACCAGCTTTACTAAATGCTGTGCATCGTCCAAGTCGGCACACCTCTCAGCTATTACACCCCTTTGACAAACAATGATATCACCTGCCATTCATTCAACAAATCCTTAGGAGTGACCATCTGAGAGGCTCTATGCTAGGGATTGGTGATTAAAAAAAAAAAAAAAAAAAACCAAAACAGGTGCCACTCTGCTGGGGAAGAGCTCAGAGGCCAATGGGATAGAATTTCAACCTCATCACTTACTAGCTGTGTGTCCCTGGGCGCCTTTCTCAGCCTCTCTGAGTTTCCAGTTTCCTTTGCCGCAGAACAGGACTAATAGCCACACCGCACAGGGCTGTGGTCATGATTCAGTGAGCTTCCCTGAGCCAAGTCCTCACCAGGCCTGGATCTAGCATGAGCTCAATGACAGTCGCTACTATGACAAGCAAAAAAAAAAAAAAAAAAAAGCCCACGGGGTGGCAGAGAGGAGGGAATGTGGGGAAGACACCAGCTCGTGGCATCTGGGGAGGGGGGCGATAGGGACCAGAGCGAGGTCGTGAGCGCGGAGAACCTTCTCGGAGGGGCTCAGGCCGGGGGCGCGCTCTAGGGACGCTGTGATGCACCCGCAGCACTGGGGACCGTGTGTGTGGCGGGTGTTTGCACTCACGGACGCCGGCTCCGGATCAGGCCGTTCTCCCTACTCTGCTGTCGCGGACAGGAGTCTCTCCAGTTCGTCTGCTACTGGCAACTTCAGATCGCGCCCTGTCCCCCGGATGCCCTTTGTGGCTCGGCGAGGCCACCCCGCAACAGTCCTCCAGTCCCGGGGAGCGGGCGCCTGGGGAGCGGGGCAGGGCGGGCGGCATCTGGCGCCCCCTTCCGGTGGACCTGAGCCGCTGCAGCTGACCGCCCGCCCTGGAGGCTCGGTCCCTCCGCCTGGGCGGTGAAAGGACCCCGGCGCGCGGGTCCCAGGAATCGGGGTTCTGTGGTCCTCGGGGGTGCACCATTGTTTCTGTAACTTAATTTCCGCTCCTGAAAGCGTTGCTAATGAACCACTCTCCCCGGGATCCGTCGCCCCTCCCGGCTGGCTGCTCGGTGTTAATGACCCGGCCCCGTGACTCTGTTCAGCCCGTGGGTACAATAGCCCTTCCCGGCTGCTGGTGGCCTCTGCGACTCCGCTCCATCAAAACCAAATTTTGTGTCATTTCCTTCCCCCGTCTTTCCAGCTCTGAAATCACGTCCCCCACTGCTTTTCCTCTTGGCCACTGCGCCTGCCTTCTGCCTGCTGTCCACAGCACAAACACTAAGGGAAAGGGTCGGGGACTGGGGCTGGTGGCCCAGGACCTCAGCACACCCCGGCAGAGTCCACAGGAGAACTCAGCTCTCCCGAACTTGGCCTCTGGGGGCCACCAGCTTATCAGCCTTCAGGAGCCAACTAGGCAAAGGAAGGATGTGGGAAGCTCAGTGTGGGACGGTGGGGAGGAGTGGAGTCTGTGGCAAAGTAGAACCTGCGTGTCCTTTGGGGGGTCATGTCGATGACTCAGAACCACTGGGCACTGAGTCATTGACACTGGCATTACAGTGTGGTGACCTTTCCAGGATGCTGCTTACTGGTGGGGGACTTGTGAGTGCCCCTGCCCACTTCTATCCACCAGAGGCCTCGTTTCTGCCCCTCTGCCTGGCCCCTCTTCCTCCTACCCGCTGTGAAGAAGTTACCAGGCAGCCCCTCCGCCGCTCCCACGGGGCCTCTTGCCCCCAGCCCTGTGCTTATGCCTGCGACGTCACCCTGCGCCTCTGTTGAAATCGGCTTTCTCCACCGTCTCAGCGGCTGGCCCACCTGTCAGCCAACCGCCAGGAAGCAAAAGAAGGCAGCTTGGTTTCAAGGTGTTCAGCAACAAAGGCCTCAGCATTTGGAATTATTTTTAGGGAGATATTAGTGGTAGGTATTTCAGGCATGACAAGGAGGCCAGAAAAAGGGCGTTTGGGGACAGGAAGGGTAGGAGGAGCCCACACTGGGCGGCCCTCCTGTCTGGAAGACCTCACTGTTCAGCTCGCCCAGCTCTGCTTTGCTAGGGTTCCAGCTCAGCTCCTGCTCCTGCCCCAGAGTTCTGCACCAACACTGTCCTCAGGAGGGAGGACGCAAGTGAGCCCCTCCTCCAGCCATCCTGTGACCTCTAGGAGGCTTCTCTTTCCCAGAGTCCTAGATGATCTTGCCAGCACACCTGCTTCTACCTGCAGAGGTACCACCAGAGGCCGAAACTGTCAGCTCTGTAGGGCAGAGGCTGAGCCTCATTCCTTTCTCTGTATCCCACAATGCCTGTCATGTTGTAGATGCTTAATAAATATGTTGAATGAATGAGTCAATGAATTAATGCATGAAATTTTCACTCCTTGTTACTTTTCAGAAAGGCATTTATTGGATGTTTACAGTGGGCCACAACAAAAAAAGTCTAGTGTCTGGTGGAAAGGAGAGACTCAAGAAGGCATCCTTGGGGCTGGGGATGTGGCTCAAGCGGTAGCACGCTCGCCTGGCATGCGTGCGGCCCGGGTTCGATCCTCAGCACCACATACAAACAAAGATGTTGTGTCCGCTGAAAACTGAAAAATAAATATTGGAATTCTCTCTCTTTCTCTCTCTCTCTAAAAAAAAAAAAAAAAAAAAAAGAAGGCATTCTTGGTTTGAAGCCCAGCTTGGCCATTAATTAACCACGAGTCTTTGGGAAAGTTATATAACCTCTCTGTGCCTGTTTCTTTTTCCTGGAGAATAGTCATTATAATACAGCCTACCTGAATGGGCTGCTGTGAGGAATAAATAAGTTAATATAGGCAAATTGTATGCATGATGAGCTCTTGGCATGTTGTGAATGCGCAGTAAATGTTGATCATTATTACTACTAGTAATAGAATTACTGCATCAAAAACAATGTCCGTGCTCTACATGAGAGAGGGGAACCTCTCCAAGAGAGAGCAACACAGTTGGGACACAAACCCACAGGATGGAGTAAGTCAGATGGCAGAGAGCTGTCAAGAGCAGGAGAAGCTGGCTTCGGTGGAACACACCTGTACTCCCAGTGGCTTAGAAGGCTGAGGCAGGAGTATCAGGAGTTCAAAGCCAGCCTCAGCAACAGTGAGGTGCTAAGCAACTCAGTGATACCCTGTCCCTAAATAAAATACAAAATAGGGCTGAGGTTGGGGCTCAGTGGTCGAGTGCTCCTGAGTTCAATCCCTGGTACAAAAAACAAAACAAGAGCAGGAGGAGTTTGGTCAGGAGATTTGGCAGGAGGCTGGACCCTTTGAAGAGAAACCCCAGGGAGAAGAGCCATATGGAGAGCCCCGACCACAGGAGGAGGTACTCGGACCCCCAGGTTATAGAGAGGAGTGTCCACCGGACACAGAGGGAACTGCCTTGCCTGCTAGGAGGGGACATTGAACATAAGGTCACGCCCTAGACACCAGGCTTCCTGCTCTGATCCTCTCTGCTCTTGGAGACCGTCCCTGCTGCTGAGGTGGTGCAGACAGGCAAGCATAGGGGTTCCTGCAGGTCCTTCTTTGGGTGCAGAGGGACTCGGGGATCTCAGCTGAGCTCTTCAGCAGCTCTGGGCTGACACCCTCAGAAGTGGTCTCCGCCCTGTAGGATACTGTGGGTCATTCAGATAGCATCCACCCTGGTCTCACCCAAAAGGACACTGTGAGCCTGCATGTGTCTGGGTTTTGTGACAAGTGATCAGAGGGAGGAAGCAGGGTTCTTGGGAAATGCATCTGGGGACAGAATATCCAAGTGTGGCTGCAGGGTATGTCCTCACACCCCATCATTCCCAAACAAATGCAATTTCCAGAAATCGTGGGCCTCTGCCCCCATGCAGCCTCCTTCCTCCACTCTGGGCCATAGCCCTGCTCCTGTGCATCCTGCCTGGCCCAGAGGTGGCCTCCTCCAGGAAGTCTTCTAGCCCACAACAGTTGAGTGATGCTCTTCTCCAGGCTTCCGTAGCAACTGTACTCCCAGCAGTGCCAGGCCACTGAATCCCTACTGTCTGCAATCCGGGGTCAGGCTCTGGGTCTTGTTCATCTTTGCCTTTCTGGTTCCTGGTGTTTGTGCTCAGCTTGGAGTCAGCTTCCGTGACTGAGGAATGAGGAGTAGTGAGGCCAGCACTGTGCAGAGTGAGAGGCGCCAGGGCAGAAGCAGAGGCCCAAGAGCAGTCGATCCCCGGCTTCGTCCCCACCAGCAGGCTCGCCTGGCTGGCAGGCAGGTCCAAGTTCCTGCCTCCTATCTAAAGCAGGAGCACCTCTGCTCCCCTCCCAGCCCTCCTTTTCTCCCTGGAGGAGTGGCCACCTGCAAGCCTCCATGTGAGTGTGCCCAGAGGTGGGACAGAAGAGAGGAGGACTCTCATGAGCAGGGAGGTCATTTGGAGAGCTCAGGTTACAAAAAGGATCGAGGGCATTTTGGGGACCAAATGCATGGACAGTGACAATGATAATCATGTTCCTAGGGAAGGAAACATGTCCCTAGGACCTAGGATTGACTTGTCTCAGCAGAAGAGATGTGGGTTCAAGACTCCTTAAGGTTGCCCTGGGGTGAAGCAGTTCATCCTTAGCCTAATCCAGCCCCAGGGCCTGGGCCCAAGCAGCGAGTGTCTCATCCAGCCTGGAGGGAGGGGCCAGGGGACCCCTGATTCCTACTGCTCAGGCAGATGGCTTGGGGGAGTCATAGAGAGTCATGCTGCCAAGTATGGCTTGCAGATGTCCCCTGAGCCACACGAGGTGGCCAAGTGTTTAGTTAAGAATGATACCATTGGCTGTCAACTGGTGGGTCAAGAACAGCAGCAAGTGCATGGGGTGGCTCTGAGTCCCAGAGTCATGATCCTCCCTCCACCCCAGTGCTCCTGACAGCCTGTCCTTGGGGGTCATCCTAATCCCCTGACTTAGCCTTCAGAGCTTCTTGGGCCTCTCCCCAGCACTCCTCCAGTCCTGCCTCCTGCCTGAGAAGTGCCTCTGACACCCTTTCCCTTCTTAGGAGCCACACTCCTGCCCCCACCAGACTCCTGTTACATCTCACTCAGACAGAGCATATGGGCGCCGTCAGTGCCCAGCCTGCAGGCTCTCCCACTCTATCCTCCAACGCTCTGCTTGCTGAATTCTCGCCCTGATCCTGCTACTCCCTTGTTCGAAACCTTTGCTGGGTCCCCGCTGCCTGTCAAAATTGCCACAGATCCCTTAGCCTGGCTTAATAAGCCCTTTCTGCGGGCGTCCCCACTGCCAGTCTTCAGGCCCTCTCTGAGGGCTCTGGGGCTCCCAGCCTGTCCCCCCCACACACACATGGAAAATCCCTCTTTGTCCTTCTCCATCTGCTGAGATCTCGTCCGGCCTTTCAGGCCCTGCACAAACAGAACCCCCCAGCCCACTCCCAACTGTGTTCCCTCCCTCCTCTGAGCACTCCCAGGAGCCAATCCCAGGGTGAGTGTGCACCTGGAACACAGCTGTCTCAGCTGTTTTCTAGTCCCACAGGGTGCAGAGCATGGCTCTGGGAAAGATAATGGTGGGAAAGGCAGGTGTGGCGTCTGTCCTGGGAGTGCAGACAGCCCTGGGAGGCTCTGAGAATTAGCCACAGTTCCCTCTGGGGAACATCTGGGTGCTACCTCGCCGGTCGCCTGTCCATGCGTGTTCAGGCAATGCAGACCATCACCATACGGGCTTGCGCTGAAGCTTCCACAGCCCAAAGAGAATCAGCTCTTTGCCATTGCAACTCCCACCCTTGCAGGGCTGCAGGCCTTTAGGACGCCCCCAAAGCCATCCATTCACCTGTTTAGCCTAACCCCTGTCCCTGCCCACCTCAACACCTTCCTAGCTGCTCCCGGGGCAATAGCATAAGGTCTCCAGATGTCACAGGGGCTGTAGGGAAGGAGGGCCTGGCCAATCTGCCCGGCAGCCAGCTCCAGCTGGGATGGAAGAGCATCTGGATTGCCTTCCCCACTCTCCTCCCTGCTTGCCCTCTGACAGAGGCAGGGGAGCAGGAAGAAGAGGAAAAGGGAAATTCTCAGGTAAAACGTCCTATCTCTGGTCTCTGTGGGTCCACAAACCCCAGCGCTGCAGGCCTGCTGTCAATCAGAGCTAATTTTTTCCCTATTCACCAGCACAAAGTGGCCCTGACTAGCCACAGCAGGCCCTGGTGGAGGACTGGAGCAGGGGCCTGGGTTAGCTGCAGGACTGAGTGAGCTGAGATCCCTGGGGAGAATCAGGGGCTGCAGGGGTGGGTTACCTGGGGAATCTGGGCCTTGGTTATTTACCAACTGGGATAAAAGCATTTTTAATATTTATTTTAAATCTTTGAACAGCTAATATGGCTGCATCCATGTAGCCTAGTCCTGCCAGCCCTGTCCCAACCACAGTGCCCACACAATCATATCAAATCCAATTTAAAACCACATATTTTATTGATGTTCTTCATCAACAAATACAGGGCCATGTGCACAAGCGCTATTCAAGTCCCACACCTGGCAACCTCCCCACAGTCACCCCCACTGACCCGTGTTTCAGGAGTTGACCCCCCTGAGGGTCTCTTTTTGCCCTCTCCTGGGATGCCAGGACCCGTGCTGCTGAGCCCCCAGGAGGTGCACAGGGAAGAGCTGGCTTCCAAGACGGAGCTCCAGGGTGAATGAAATAAGTGATGAAAGAATGAATAAAGGCAGAAGGGAGCCAGGGTGGATTTTCCAGCCTCCCACCATCCCCGCCCCCTGCACCTCCTACATATGGCCAGAACTGGGAACGAAGATGGCCCTGGTGACTTCTCCTTCAATGAAGCCTGGACTCCCCATTAGTCTGCCCTGCCACACCCCTTCCCTCAAAGTGGCCTGCCCTGATGACCACCAAAGATAGCAGAGTGACCATTTGTCAAAGGGTGGGAGTCAGTGTGCAGGGGGCAAGGAGTCCCTGACGGTAGGGATCTCATCGTCCTGTCCACCCCTGTATCACCAGAGCCTGACACTCGGCACATAGTTGGTGCTTGATAAATCCATATTGGATAAATGTATGACTGAAACAATGAATAAAGGCAGAGGGGGGAAGCACGAGCTGTCAACATTAGGACATAGCCCTCTAGGGGGCATGAAGGCGGGACCTTGGTCAAGTCCTCTGAGCTCTGCTCAAGAATTCAGTGTTGTACAGCAGGGTTGTGTCCCTGTGGCCACCCACTGGACACTGAAGGGTATGGACTTCGGTCTTCTGCCTGGATGGATGTCAGGTTGGCCTTGGGACCCAGTCAGGAGGGGGCACTTGGGTTGCACCCACTCCCTCATGTGTCCCAGGGGTCTGGTTCTCTGGGTCCCAGAATGTGTAGCCGTGCCCCCATCCAGGGCCACTCAGCTGAGCAGGGAAGGTCTGGCAACTGCACTGACATATTCTGGTCATCCTCATCCCCCAGTCTTCACTCCCCCAGGCTCCTCCCTCAGAGTTGGACATGACCTTCAGGCTTTTCTCTCCCCATCACGTACCTGACCCTGACACCCTTCTGGGTCTCCCTATCCTCCATGGCCAGCCCTCTAAACTAGAAACATCCTGGTAGTCCTCACCACAGTAGCTATATTGGGCCTCAAAAGTTTGCATCATGATTTTTCAGCCCTCTCCTCTGCCCACCTCCCCTCCATGAAAGCCAATATCTCACAGACACCTCTGCAGCTGTGGCCTCTGGGCCCAGCAGTCACAAAGAGACTCTCCGAGTGGGAAGGGATTTCTTGTGAAAAAAAATTCCTTGCACAGCATGTCTGACAGAAGCCTTCCTGGACCTCGCTAACCCTAACCCCGACCTCCAATGGTGGAGCTACTGCTTGCCCAGGTATCCATTCCAACACTGGCCATTCCAACATTGAAGCTTTAGCTGCTAGAATGTCCTTTATCCAGGACATAAATGAATGCATTGGCCCCTCCCTCCCCAAGCATTCTTCCTCTAGGTTCATAAGAGCACCTCTCTCTCTCTCTCTCTCTCTCTCTCTCTCTCTCACACACACACACACACACACACACACACACACACCACCCTTCTATTCAGGGATACAGGGCTGCACAGTTACATGCCTTCTTCATTCATTGGGTGACTCCTCTTTCCCTCTTCTTTCTCTCCCAACATCTGGCCAAACCCCAGGGGCTGGAGGAGTGCCGGGTTGCTGTCTCCAGAGAAAGAGCTTTGAGCCTTGGGAGTGGGCACCAAGCCACTGAGCTCTTTGTCCCCACCCACAACCCCACAGAGGGGGTGACACATGCCCACCCCTCCCAACTTCCCTGGCAGTTGGCAGAAGGGACTTGGCTGCCTCTGGCCCATGGTAATTTTAGATATTTGCCAGCTTCCAGGTCTTGGGGAGCCCCACACCAGCAGCAAGAGTCACTCTCCACCCCCAAGATGAGGGGGAGTCTCCCACAGACAGAGTGAAGGCAGGAGAGGTGGTAGAGAGTGGGTGCACCAGATACAGAGGGGAAGGAGGGCCCCGAGGAGGGTGAACAGAAGCAGAGACATCTGGTGAGAAGCCCAGCAGTGCCCGGTGGCCGTTCTTCCTGCCATGGCCCACCAGCTAGCGCTGCTCTCTAGGGGTTGAAGATCAGGGACGGGTGCAAGGACCTTACCAGTCGGAGGTTGCGGTGGATCATGGGTAGAGACAGATGCCATGGTCTTATGTTCAGAGGGAGAGAAATGATGGAGTGTCTGTCTGCTATTTGTCCTGCTGCTTAGAGCTCTCGCTTCCGACATTGAACATGGGGACCAGCAGGCCCAGCAGCCACCTCTTTCCGAAGACTTCCTGCAAGTTCTTGCGCCAAGGTCGGGCCCTCACTGCCACCCCCTTCCGAGCCTGGTGGCGGGTCTGCCCCCGGAGGATCAATAGCAGCTGGTGGCAGCAGAAGCCGGCGCAGGCCAGGCCGATGGCAAACCAGAGGTAGAGCATGAGGATGACGAACATTTCAGAACCGAGGACAGCTCCTGCGGGGGAGGGGAGACGACAGAGCCGCTTTACACCCAGGCCACGTACGGGAAAAGCGATCGGGCAGGCGCTTTCTGTGCAGAGGGAGGGAGGAGATTAATGAGATTGCAACTACATTTTGTAGCTCTCGCCGCGCTGCAGCGAACGACAGGAAGGATGAACTAGTTGCCCCAACTTTTCCTTATGTTGATGGCTCCTGGGGGGAGGGGAGAAAACTGGGGATCTGGGGGGAGAACAGCTTGATAAGCTCAGAATGAGAACCCCCAGCTTCCCTGGGCAGTCCAGATGCTCTTACCGCCCCACCCCTCTTTTTCCTTTGAGGGGTAAGCTGAGGGCCCTTTAGAACGGATGCCCCCAGCTGTCTAGACTGCTCTGTTCCCCTTCAGGGCTGGGAACATTGTCCTGAAAGACTCGGGCAAGTGACAGCATGATGGAAAACAGGACCTCGTCATCAAAGGGGACAAGTCATGAGCTCAACCCCAAAGGCAGGGAGCAGAGCGCGGACTTGGGAGAATAATGCAGTCATTAATATCAGCAAGAGGACAGTGTGGTCATCTGAACACTCTGCTAAAGCTGTCCAATCCGTCAGAGCTTGCTAAACCTGGAAGAGGTCCCCAAGGTCATCAGTTTGACCTCCCCTCAGGCCCTCTAAACCAAGCACTTTCTATTACTGCTTGTAAATATCCACTTAGTAAGAGATCCCAGTCTTCCCAAGGGTTCTGGGTGGGTGGTCCACACTGGGCTTGGATCTCCCATCTTGTGGACTCTCACAAGTTTTTGAACCTGTGTTGCGGTTTGTTCCTCTGCAAAATGGGCATGATAGTAATGATTCCCAGGGATGCAGGATTCAAGGAAATGGTGTATGAAGGGGTCAGCCTTCTGGTTGACATGCAGCCCAGAATGTAAGGTCATTTCACAGAGGAGATGACTTACATCCAAAAAGGGTTCGAGTTTAATTCCTAAGGCCACCAAGCCTTCTCCACCTTTCCAGGACTTGGAATCCTTCCTAGGCTGCAACTTTGGCAGTTATAGTAAAGACACCTACCTGGCAGTCAGGATGGTGGGTCCAGTACAGAACTCAAAAGCCTTCCTTAGCCCTTTGCTCCCTGGAAGACAACCTTTTTGCCACCTTCTCCAGGGAGATTTTGGGTAGCAGCTCCAGGGAACACCTGTTCTACCCCTGTACCTCTCCCTCGTCTCTCCCCTGCCCTTCTACCAGCTCCCTTGTACAGGTTCACATCTTCCAAGGCCTCTCCAGGCTCTGATTTCCAGACTCCAGAGAATTGAGCTTTTGGTCCTTATCAGGTCTGAACAGTGTTGAACGTGGCAGCCAGGAAGAATGTGGGTCTGATTTGGGTTTGTTCATTAGCAGCCTTTTCTCCCCTCATCCCTTCGAACTTTGATTGCTTTTTTTTTTTCTTTACAAAGTTGGAGACAAATTGGTCCAGCTGCCCAGGGGACAGGAGGCTTGCTCCAGCTGGCATTTAGAGCAGCCCCTCCACTGACATGGTGGCATCAGTGGGGCAGAGCTCACATGGAGCCATGCCATCCCCTGACCCACTTCTCCCTTGTCAGCACAGATGAGCTTGGACAGCCACGTGCAGGAGGGAGCACCCTGGGGCCCTGACACCCTTTGGGCTTGAGGGATGCCGATGGGCAAAGGTGGCCCTCAACTGGGATGTGAGAACATCAGAGCTGTCAAGCTCCGGCCTGCCTTGCATCTCAGCCCCAGGAACGAGCTTGGGCGGGTGGAAGCTGTTTTTCACAGGCTTTTTTTTCTGGCACTGAAGCAAGGCATGAGGGAGAAACCTTGCCGCCTTCTCCTGGCCCCATGCAGCAGCTACAAAAGGCTATTCTGGGGACCTGCTTCCTTTCAAAGTGTTTGAAGGTCTCTAGCGTGACTGCTTCAGCTCCTCTCAACTATTTAATAATAGTTCCATTTCTTTTAGAAAATCATAGAGTGTTCCTAAAGGGCCTAAAAGGTCCCATTTTCTGATCTCTCCTTTCCCTGACTCCCACCAGCCATCTTCACAAACCATCACCCAATGTCTTCTTGAATGCATTGGGGATAAGATGACGCCACCCTCCCAAAGGGGTTTCTTCATCGCGAAACAACAAAAGAGAAGCAGCCCCAGAGAGGCAGTGTGGTCTAGCGGAAAAGGTACAAGCTTTGGAGGCAACGGCTTGGAGTCCAAAGCTGTGTGGTTTTGAAGCAACTTCACCTGGCTGAGTGTTTCCTTCCTAAGCCTTAAAAATGACTTGATAATACCTCCCTCACAGACTGTCACGATGGGATGAAATGAGATGTGCCTGGTGGATGACACATAATAGGTGCTCAACAAACATAAGTTCTCTTTCCTCCTTTTGGACTTTCTGGTGGCCCCTATCCACTGACATACTCATCCAAATGCCACAATGCATGCTGGAGAGTGTCCTCCTCATTTTCCAGATGAGAATGAGGTTCAGAGGGGGTGATGCAACTTGTACTGGTACCACAAAGTCAAAAGAAACTTAGAACTTAACTAGCTAGTCCCCTCTCTCTTTGACATTAGCTGAAGATTAGCAGCCAACTTCAGTTCAGAAGACCCCTTCCACCTTTAGTTCTCAGGGCCCCCACGCACAGCATCCTGTGCTTTGATGGCAAATCCAACTCAGGGCTGGGGACAGCTCAACTCCTGTTAACCAAGGTGTGCCTTCTGACACTCCTGCCCTCCTCTCCTGAGCAGATGAGAGGGGGGTGGCTCTGGGAACTGGGGTAGAAAGGATGAGAAGAAGGAGATGGAACAGGGCAGTGTATGTGGAGGGGGGGGAGGAGAGATATAAGGTCAGCAAAGGAGGAAGACGAGACGGAGAGAAGGACACGAGAATCTTAGCCTCCTTTCCTAGTGAGTGAATGGTGAGGAGGTGAAGGATAGTGGGACTCAGCAGCCGGATCAGGGACCTGGGACCCAAGGTGGACACTAACTGGCTCTGTCCTCCCAACAGATTAAAGCAAGAAGCCCTTCTTGCTTTCTCTCCTATCTCCTAAACCTAGCACATATGGACAGGCCTCAAGCCCAGATTTATCTCAAATCAAACCATTTCAAGATCCTCCTTCTGGAATCACCCATTTTTATGGTTGGTGAAACTACTTGGAAAAGGATGTGTAATCAGGTTCTTTGGCTTTCCTCATCTCCCCACCTGTCTGTGCTCACACTCCACCCCCCAACCCGCCCACCTACCCTCCCCCATCCTGGTTATTTCGGTCCTGGCAGCCTCCTTTGGCAGCACAGAAATCCAGAAGGCCCAAGACTCTGAGTTTTGGGCCCAGCTCAGTCACCAGTCCTCCAGGCATTCCCCTGGCTGGGTCCTCTCTGTTTTCACTGCCAATGTCTCAGTAGTGCCATGCCTGGGAAGATGTGAGCTGCGGCCACAGAAGTCACTGAAATGATCATTTCCCCCAGCCAGAATGGATCAGAATTTTCTTTCTTTCTTTCTTTCTTTTTTTTTTTTTGGTACCAGGAGTTGAACCTCAGGGCACTTGACCACTGAGCTACATCCCCAGCCCTATTTAGTATTTTATCTAGAGACAGGGTCTCACTGAGTTGCCTAGCACCTTGCCTCAGTGTTGCTGAGGCTGGCTTTGAACTCACGATCCTCCTGTCTCAGCCTCCTGAGCTGCTAGGATTACAGGCATGCACCACCAAACCTGGCTAATGATATGGCCATCAGATTTGTTGTTGTTGCTGCTGGGGACTGAAGCCAGGGCCTTGTGCATGCAAGGCAAACACTCTACCAACTGAGCTATATCCCCAGGCTCCAGAGTGAACAGAATTTTAAAGAATGTCCAACCTAGGCCAATCCAGGTACTTCAAGATAATCTTAAGATCTTAGTAGAAGTAGTGCCTTATCACTCCCTGTTCCTGGAAGGTCAGTGTTTGGGAACATGTTCTATTTCCTGTGCTGCTGAGGGAGCCCTGGGCCAGAGATGTCTAGTTAGTTGTAGTGGTAAGACACTGGGCAGGCCACTTAGTCCCACCTAAGTCTTAGTTTTTACATCTGAGAAATGGAGTTAACACCATACTCACATGCACAAACACATGCGTGTGCACGCTACCAATTATGGGAACCAAATTGGGCAGAGTCACACACCAGGGTGGCAGGGAGTGGATGGAAATACAGTAGGGGCAAATTTCAAGTCTGCATAAAGTAATAAGAACTGCCACCAGGAGCTGAGTGCCCCAGGGCCTGGCTCCAGGGAGCATTACTTGAGGCATGCCATCCAAACTACAGTCTTTGCCAGGATGCCCAGTGGGGCACGAGGGTGAGGACCCACATACCTGGTTCCTCAGATTCTACACCAGTCCCAAGCTCTGTAGTGTGGCTATGGAACCATTAAACATGGCTGCATCTCCAACCAGGGTGGCCCTCCTCTGAGCCACCCACAGGCTGCAGCACAGTCTGGTGGGGCCCACAGAGTAGGCAGGAGGATAGGGCTTAGCTGGTGTCAAGTTCAACCTTATTGTGGTTGGTTGGTAGCACCTCTGGAGGGCAAAGTCCCTGAGCAGGACTGGGGTCAGACAGAGAAAGATGATGAGTGTGTCTGGCACAGAGCAGGTGTACTGCCTGGATGTGACATTCCTGAGCAAGTGGATGGTGTGATAGTGAGGAAGGCAGATAACAGCATGCCCAGTTAATTTGAATTTCAGATAGACCCCAGGACATTTTCTTACTTCTGTCTCGTGCAAAATTGGGGCATAATGATACTAAAAAGTCATTTATCTGAAAAGTTAATTTAGCTGGAAATCCTGTGTTCTTTGATTTGCTAAGTCTGGCACCCCCTGGAGTTGGGGTGAGGAGTCTTATTTGCTGAACTTGCCTGCCAAGGCCCACTCACCGGAGAAGAATTGGCTGATGGAAGTGGGCAGGAGCGTGAGGAAGGCCAGGGGATGGGCGAAAGAGATGGACAGGACAGCAGAGATGTAAGCCACTCCGGCCACCATGGAATAGAGGCAGGCAAGGGAGGTGTAGAGGCAGAACAGGACGAAGTTGCGCATGTTCCTGCTGCCGATGCAGTTGCCGGTGAAGAAACAGTGGTGGTCGTGCCGCAGCGTGACTCGGGCGCACACCCGGCAGAAGTGGGTGCTGGGAGGGGGGCACAGAGCCCTCTTGGACGAGGTACCCTGACAGGCGTCCAGGTCGTCCGGGGAGTTCTGGATGACCAGGACATAATTGCCCAGGGCGTTGGCAGAGAGAAATAGGAAAAGCGCCCCGTGGAGCAGGGCAGGCGAGAAGAGAGGGGCAGCCGCGGGGTCCTCGCGCATGCTGGGCAGGAAGAGGAAGAGTTGCAGCACGAAGGTCACCAAGGAGATGCACAGAAAATAGGCTGGGGCCACGACGTTGAGCAGCCTCAGGGCCAGCATCCTCGATTACATTCCTACGGAGCGCGGGATGAGAGAGAGACTGACTTACTGCGGTGGCCAGGGGGCGCCCTTGCGCGCTCCTAGCGTCTCCCGTCGGAAGGGCTGCATGCAAATCTACTCCCCCAACCCCAGTCCCGGGGGGTCATCCTTCCCCATTTCTCTAACCCGGGACCAAGCAAGCCAGAGATCACGAGACCACAGCGGGCTCCTGGGGCCAGGCCCTACCTCGGGGAGGCTGCTCCCTCGAATTTTGAGCGACCTTAGGGCTCTGTCGCCACGAGGTCAGGCACAGAAGGGAAGGGCTTTTTCGTACTCTGTAGGGGCCGTGCGGAGGAGAGGGCTAGGGCTGCGCGCCGCAGGGCAGTGGAAACAGCCCAGGTTTGGGATTTTTGGTTCAGGCCTCCCCAGGAGAAGACAGAGAGGATTTGAGGCCGGGGGACAGAGGGAACCGTTTGACCTACAGGAAGTCCTCCTTCACTTCCCCTTCTTCCGCCCCCCCCCCCGCCCCATCCTCACCTTGGGCAATACCCAGGGATCTCATTGGTTACCCAAGGCTCTTAGGAGGTATGTTTGTGTATGTGTGGGCCCGTGGCTGGGGGTGCGAGTGACGGTACGTGTGATCTGTGTGCGCCTGGGTGTCTGTGTTTGTGTGTCTGTGTGTACACACACTCAATCACTGCTTCCTGGCTTTTTATTTAAAAATCGATTCAAACAATCAATACATTCACACGCGCACAGGCAGGCGCTGGGTGGGTTGGGGGCGCAGCGGGAATACTTCTGCTTGTGAGTCCTTCCTGCCCAGCCCATCTCTCGCACTCTGGCTATTTGTTTGCAAAAAAGCGTTTTCCTTTGAGGCGACGAAATTAAAATCCCCCCTTCGCGCCCGCCTCTCGCCCTTCTGGCGGGAGACACCCAAACAATCCCCACGGCGCCGAAACCCTTTCGATGCCAAGCCCTCCCTGAGCGGACGAGTAGATTCTCGTGTCCCTTTCCTGGGATGGACACCCCTCCACCCTGCCGAGCGCAGCTCCCACCACATGCCTGCCCCACCCCAGGCCCCGGACCCCCAGAGCCCGGGTTCCTGCTCAACTTGGGAAGGCACCGGGAAATAGCATTCTGCGCGCTGGAGAGAACTTTTCCGGGGGCTAAGGAATTGGACAGGAGGAGGCTCGAGAAAAGTTCTGGGAAGGCGGCTGCACCCAGGATGGATGGATGCCACGGGGCCTCGGTCCAGGCAGTCCCATCTGGATGGAGGGGACGGGTCACCTTGGAATCCTCTTTGCAGGTGATGGCGTCCCCCCTCCCCCGGGACCCGCGGTTGTGGTGGGCAAGCGCAGGCCTCTCCGCAGCTGGGTGCAGCGCCGGGCGCGCCTGAGCCTGGTCGCTGGGGCGCGGTACCGCCCCCAGCCGTGCGCCTCCGGAGGCTGCGGCGGCGCTGCCCACCCCGGAGAGCCCTGGGTCCGGGGCTCCAGCGAAGCAAGTGTCTTCCCCGCGCCAGTCGCCAGGGGGGCGCGGGAGCAGCCTCCAGATGTGCCGCGGCGCTGAGAACGCAAGGACAGGGGCTGGGGAGTGAGGGGCGCTCCGCAGGCGGCCGCAGCGCGGGAGAAGGGGCGGCCCAGGGCGCCCCAGCTGCCTGGGGCGCAGGGAGCTGTCGGCTCAGCCCTGGCGCCCGCCTCGCCCGCCACGGAGGGTGGCACAGCGGAGCCCTGCCGAGGCAGGCAGCGCGGGAGGCTGCCGGCTTGTCGGCCACTGCCTTCCGGACGCCGGGGAAGCCGCCCCCCGCGCCACCGTCGCCACCGCCTCCGCCGCACCGCCGCAGAGGGGTGGGGAAATGAACTCACCGAGCTCTGGTCGCCGACAAGAGGAGCCCAGACGCCGGCTCGTGCCCGCCCAGAGGCTGCAAAGTTGTGGGCTCGGCCCTGCTGGCCCTCAGCCTTCTCACGCTTCGCTTCGGGGACTGGGCAGGTAGCGGGGCTGTGGGGAGGAGGGAGCGGGCAGCTGCCGTCCTCCCACTTGGGCGCCAGCGAGTGGGGGCCAGGAGGCGGCGGGGATGGCAGCTGGGCCCCCCCGCCCCGCCCCCTCCCTCCTCTCCTGGGGGCGGTGCTCTGGCCACCGTCTCAGCATCGTGGACTTGCCCCCCCTTCCTCCCCTCTTCTTGGTTCCCCTGGAGCGGGTTGGGGCGCCCTGCCTGACTTCAGCCGTGGTTGCAACTGGGAGATAGGAATTCATCCCTGATGTGGATGCTCCAGCCATCACCCAGTCCTTCTCTCCTTCCTTCTTCCAGGCTATGACCAGTAATCCTTCTCTCAGCTTGGGCTGAAGGGAACTTGGGGTGTTGATAGGCAGCTTACCAGGGCAACACCCAAGAAGTCAGTGTCATCTCCTCAGGAGGGCTGTGTACCAAGAGATTGCAAGGGGACCCCCTGGCCTGTCCGCCTGGGTTTGAATATCCACCATTCACCGCTGTGTGCTCCTAGATTCCAGGATCCTCATCTGGAGAATGGAGATGTGAGGATTAAACGGCAATAGATGTGAAAGCCCCTAAACAGAGCCTGTCTAGGGGAAGCACTGTGTCTTGGACCACAGTCATGGATAGTACTTCTCTGGATTTCCTGTGTACCAGGCACATAAGCTTTTAGCATAAGAGCCCTTCATCCGTCCTCTCAGTATGATTGGAGCAGCTGCATGAGCCCCATTCTGGGATGAGAAGGTTGGGATTCAGGAGCTAAGTCACTGCTCAAGGTCACACAGTAGGTGAGTGAACAGATTCTGGATTTGAACCCAGTTTTAGCACTAGTGCTGCTGCTCTCAGCCTCAACACAATCCAGCATCACCTTGGGACCCAGCAGCAGCTTTGATTTGGGGAACAACAAGGGGGTTTATCCCACACAGAGCTCGAACCTGGAGCTGCTGCTTGGAGCCCCAGCCCCAACTCCCTGCTCTTTACCACCTTCCCCTTCTGGGACTCCAGTGTTTCTCAGATGGGTACTGTGTGGCATCAAGAGGGTAGTGACACATGTGTGCCAAATGGGGGCGCGGTCATAGAGAACACCTTAGAACACTGGATGACGCAGGGACGTTGGTGCCTGTGCTTGGACCATGATGGCTCACTTGGGTGCCCAGCTCCACTCCTCTGCACGCAGGCCAACCTGATACATGTTGATTGCTTTCTCAACTCGTTGATTAAAATAAGAGCAATCCCTTGAAGTGAGGGCCATATGCCGATCGGCTCATGCTCTATTTTTGAATCATCAGACACTGTTTTCTCTGGATTGTATCAGCACACATAAAAATAAAAAGGGGGCCAGGAAACCTTTTCGTGTTCCGAAAGGCTCTTGCAGGCCAGTGGAAGAACAGCGTCCCAGGTGGTGGCCTCTGAGAATGGCCTCTGAGAATCCAGAAGCTCTGTGAGTTCCAGTGGCCACAGGACAGACACAAGGAGGCACAAGTGGCCCTTTTCCCTTCAGAGCAGCTTTGTGTGACAGGCGTGGCTGTCTGGCCCCTTTCACAAGTGCTGCCTGCGTCTCGCACTGGCTTGGGAGGCAGAGGCACCTGGAGCGCTTGGTTTGGGCCATACTGATTGAAGATCTCCATTCCCTAAATACCTTGAGAGTCGGGTGGTATTTCTAATTTTATTTTGCATATGGGTGTGTGGTGGGAAGGTGTGTGTCTGAATTTGTGTGTGTGAGGGGAAGACAGAGAGAGAGGAGCTCAGCGAACGTGGGAAGATGTCAGTGGGGGAAGGGAACATTCCGGAGGGAGAAGATCCAGTCGTGCGAATACAAACGGACGAGGATGATTATTTATTTAGAAATATCGTTATCATCAGAAAAGGACATTCAAGCTGCAGCTCTATAGCCCATGGTCCCTCAGCCCCCGTTAAAGGAAGGAGCCAAATGTTTTTCTAAAATGAGTGCTTATCTCGGACCCAATCAATAAGGAGGCCATCTGAAACTTCATTTTGATTCTGGCTCCAACAGAATTAAGCAGCTGAAGAAGGAGCATTTTATGGCCATGTGAACCTGAGCAAGTCATTTAACCCCTCTGCTGTCTGTATTCTCACCCATAAAAATGGGCTTAATGGTGTTGCATGGTGGAGATGGTGATGAAATGGAATAATGTCGTTTATGTGCCCTGGGCTCAGTGGAAGATTGGATAGCGATTGCGTCTCCCATCTCCCGTCTCTCTTCTGGGCTCTTTATCCACAGGGCTGACTTCTCTTTCCAACTCAGATGAAACCTCTGGCCTCTATTGGAAATATTTTGGAGTCTCCTCTGGTTTGCCCAGGGTTGACCTGAGTAAAAGCGTACCGACGGGTGAATCAGTACTGGTCTCTCTGCTGGGAAAAGCTGTACCCTGAGGTCTTTGAAATGTCCCACGAGGCCTTATTTGCTATTGATCTTGCATCCTGCCACCCCCCACCCTAACTACAGCCTCATTCTCCATTTACAGTGTCACAAGGTAATTTATGAAGCATGTTCTCACCCCCCTCCTCGTATGTTCTCATAGTTCAGCTGTGACTGAACCTGCAGATGGTCCCAAGAGGGCAGGGACACAGATCAGCATCTGATTGCTGCTGAGCGTTTTTCCTGGGGATATGTGCCTTGCATTTTTCTATTTCATGGTGTTGTCTGAATAAAACGAATTCCCTTCCAAGTGGCGACTCCGTTTTGCCACAAAATGTTGTATACAAAGAAAGAAACTCCGTGAGCCAGCCAGCTTCTCCCACAGGTGAGGGGCCAACCCCGTGTCTGTCAGGCCCCATGGTTCCCTAGATGTTTGGGAGAGGGCTGCAGGGCTTGGGTTCATCCTTATGCTCTTATTTCAGATAGAGGTGAATGATAGAATTGGTCTCAGGTTAACGGGTGCTCTGAAATTAAGAGGGTACTAGACATCCTCAGACAGGATGCTCTTTGTGACTAAGAGCAAATCATGGCCAGGGGCAACCACAAAGTGCTCCCCCAAGTCTCTGAAGGCTTAATAAGGCGCCATCCCTGCCTGCCTGGATTTGGAAAACACATAAGGGCAGTTCATCATCTTAGCCCTCCGAAGACATGGAAATTGGATTATCACAGAATTTCTATTTGGAGGTGGTAATTTACTTTGCCAACTATGTCTTCATTTGAACGATAATTACATTACTTTGCAGGTTACAAAGTATCTTCACAAAATTAAAAATTCCATTCCATCAGTCTCTCAACAGGTCTGTAGCTGGCTGGGGTTCAAAAATATTAAACCCATTTTTTCTTATGAGAAAACTGAGGTTGGGAGATTTGTCACATGTCAATTTGAAAGCCTTGCCTATGTTCGATTTAAGATGCAATTCAATATGCAAAGAGCTCATGGATATTTAGCCTTTCTGAACGTGACCTCTGCATAAAGGAAGCAGGCCTGTAATGTTCCCCTAGAAGAAAAGACCTGCTGATCTCTCTTTATCTAAGATAAACTGCTCTGCTCTTCACCCTGTGTCCCGTCTACTCTGCGATATTTGTCCCCAACACCACTTATCATCATCTGACACAGTGTACATTTATCTGCTTACCATTTGTCTCTCTTACTAGGATGCCAACCGTATAACAGCAGTATTCGGACTGTTCTTGCCACCGATGTATCCCCAGTGCCTATAACTGTGTCTGGAACTTAGTAGGTACTCAGTAAACACAGTAGGTATTGAACGAATGAACAGATGTACTAGGCAAAAGTGAACATATAAACCTGCAGCACATTGACCAAAAGCTCTCAAACACTCTGCTGTTTGTGGTGCTGAAAGGGAGTGTGAGGCTGGGTTCAGGAATGCTAAAAAGTCCTGAAGGTCAGTCACCCTGTGGGCGACCGGCAACCCCAGCAGTCTCCCTCATGGGGATGCACCAGGGTGGGAATCTTGGCCGTGCTCAGGCCATGGATGAATGAATGCCATCTTTCCCCAATTAGCCCTGGTTTCCAGGGACCTCTTAGGCCATCCTGGTAGGGATGCTAAAGCCTGCGGACCAGCCTGCAGCTTTGCAGCAAGATTAATTGGCTCCTTCATCTTAGAGCACGCGGGAGGTTGAGGAAAGGAAAAAGGGGTGGAGGGAGGGAGAGGAGGAGGGAGGGAGGGGACAGAGAGGAGAAATGGGCGGCGGTAAAAGAGGGTGCTTGCTGACCCATGGTGGTTTATGGCTTCTTGAGAGGAAGCTCAGGAGGTGTGGGGTGGGGTGGGGGGGGTGTCAGCTGTGGCTGGGGTGAGCCCAGCAACACCAAGTGTCCAGGATGGGAGGGATGGGGCGGAAGGGTGACTTCTCAATTAGAGGAGGAGGGAGGGAAGACCAGGGGAGGGAGGTTACCACAGTGCCCTTGGCTTTTTAGAGACCTCTTGGATATGTGGCAACCACAGAGCTGCAGGCAACACCGACTTCACACCCAGGACCACCCCCTCCTGCCTCCCTTCTACTCTACTTCCCTCTGCCCCACAGAGACTGCTCTGGGCCCAGGAGAGAGGTGGTTTGTTATTATGAAAAATAATAATAAGTTTTTGATGTCCACTGACCCGGACTTGAGCCTCTCTGTATTCTCATTCACTTGCTATGTGACCTTGAGCAAGTTCCTTAGCCTCTCTGAGCCTCAAATTCCTTGTCCGTTAAATGGGATCTTTAGGTGATTTGCAAAGTTCATTATGAGTTTTAAGAGGCAAAGATTTCAGCTTGATCGATAGCTCCTGCACCTTCCACCAGACTGTAGCCTCCGCACAACTGCAATCCTACAGTCCCATACCCCCACCTACCGCCCTCTGCTTATCTCAATTGCTTATTTGTTTGTTGATGGCATCTTTCCATCTGTAAATATCTGTAGGCTCGTTTCTGCAGCCTGTATCCACATAGAGCCTGGCAATTTATTTATAAATTATAAATAAATAATAAATTCCAACTCAATACCTGACCTTTAAAACCCAGGCTCAGGAGAACAACGAGAAAAATGGGATACAACCAAAGATTCCTATTTCCTGGCGCCTGTTATGTGCCAGGCCCATGGGGGCCCAGGTGCCTACACACAGGTTCTTTTATTTAATCGCTATAATTACTCTGCCTTGTGAAAGTCAGATTCTGCCCACTTTATATCGGCTCAGAGTAGTTAAGAGATTTGCTAAATTTGCAGAGCTTGCTGGCAGCAGGCATCAAGTCCAGGTCACTTAGCCAGGTGTGTGCACTTGCCTATAATCTCAGTTACTTGGGAGGCTGAGGCAGGAGGATCACAAGTTTTAGGCCAGTCACAGAAATTTAGTGAGACCTTGTCTCAAAAAAAAATAAAAATAAAAAGGACTGGAGGTAGCTCAGTGGCAAATCGATCCTGGGTTCAATCCCCAATAACGACAACAAAATCCAGGTCACTTGGTTCCAAAGCCCAGACCTCACACAGCACAGCGCCGTGTCTCTCACACATCAGCCTTCACACTGATATAGAAATAGCTAACCTATTTCCTTATGGAGAGATAATATGGAATGCTGATGTTGACCTCTTACACTTCAGGGTGAATTAACCAGTCAGCCTCTTTCCCTGTGCAACAGTGTGAGAGAAGGGACTTTTTACTGGAGAGGAGGAGGAAGAGTGGGATGGGATGGAGGGGCAGAGTTTAAAACAGACCTGCAGTAGGGGATGGAAGTGTAGATGGGACAGAGGATGAAAAGGGAGTCCAAAAAAGAGAGTCCAGAGGGCCCAAATTGCCTACCTTCAGGTTTCAGCTCTACCAATCATTGTGTAATCTGGGAAAAAAAAATAGTTGTCTTGGTGCATTTTCTGTTGCTATAACAAAATGCCTGAGACTTGAAAATCAGTAAAGAAGAGAGAATCATTTAGCTCATGGTTCTGGAGACCAGGAAATCCAAGAACCTGGTGCCGGTGTCTGGTGGGGGCTTCTTGCTGCATCATGATCCGGCGGAGGGCATCTCACGGTGACAGAGCTGACTTTTACAACCAAGCCATTTTTTCAGCAACCCATGCGTTACTCACCTTTTCATCTCTGTGACCAGAATACCTGCACAGACAACTTAGAGGAAGAAAAGTTTATTTGGGCTCATGGTTTCAGAGGTTCAGTGCATGGTCGGCCAACTCCCTGGCTCTGGGCCTGAGGTGAGGCAGAACATTGGGGTGGAAGGGCGTGGTGGAGGAAAGCTGCTTGGCTCCTGGCGGCCAGGAGGCGGGGG